TACAGAGAGAGAGAGAGAGAGAGAGAGAGAGAGAGAGAGAGAGAGAGAGAGAGACCAAATGTATCATTTCTCCAGCAGAAACCTTTGTATTCTGAAAGGTCACCTGGCTGAAGAGAATATTTAAAGTTGGGCGACAAAGTTCCACCTGGAACACACTTGGATCTGAACCTCAGATTTAAGCTAATCAGTCCAGTTCATAATCGTCGGCGAATGGCCTTTGCATATACCATTATATGTAAATATGTTATTTCCTAGTTGCGTAAAAGTTTTACATACAGCAAAATGAGTCCTTTTGTTCATATACCAAAGCAAAACATTGTGTGGAACTTTCCAGAAGTATGATATCCATGAAATGATGTCCACGGAGACTGACCTTGAGAAAAAAACCCACTCCACCTGCTCAAAAACACAGAGTTGATCTATTGAGGCTAGCTAGGATGCCTTGGCTCATATGAAACCCTTTACCAGTTGCGCCTTCTGCATGAATATCAAAACAGAACAGACATCCTGATATATCACACCATACTCAAATTAAATGTGAGTGGAATATCCAAACAAAGAAAGCTATTTCAAAAACATTTCAGCAATACATAATATTATATTATTATTTGTATGACTGAAATGTTTTTGAAATTACCTTCTTTGTCCGACAGAATTCTGGACGTGTTTATGAAATTCGCTTTCACGGTAACATCCTTTCATGGTAGAAAAATGGGACAGGGTTCATGTGATGCTTCTGCACTTAACATTCACCACAAACAGTGTATAATCCATGTTGTAATCACTCAGAACTACCATAAATGCTGAATGAAAAAATCAAAATGCTTTTCAACGATTTTATGTTTCTGAGATTAGTCACTTGTAAAACAGTCAGTCTAAAATGTGATTGGCTGTAAATATTTTGTTCTCCCAATTACATATTTTTAGATCAATAATTATGTTGCAAGTTGCTTCAACCCTTTCTAACAAGGCCGTCCTGGGGCTATGTAGGATTCGATATCCCAGAAGAAAGACAGAAGTACTCCATCAAATTCTTTTGAATGTACAACTGTTGCACCATAGATACCTAGTAACATGCAAGACAAGAATATTACCCACACTCAATATAATGATAAATAATAAATAACATTTGTATAGCCCACATCCCGGCTCAACAGTAAGTTCTATGCTCTTTTCACTACCCCAGCAGACCATTTAACACTCAGAAACATTCTCAGCTTTCCATGAAGCATACAGTGCAAGCAGCTGATTAAGAGCTCAAACACTAACGAATTGATAAGATCTTTCACTATCTATAACTGGGTACCCATTCCCTCCTAGGTGAAGTGAGGAAAATGTGTGTAAAGCGACTTTCCCCAAGGACACAATGTCGGACCCCTGACGGGATTCGAACCCACGACCTTACGGTTGCGAGTCTGAGAGCCTAACCACTAGGCCTCCGACGCCACATATAACAACATATTATACAAGTACACCTCTTTCCACTGACCTCATTTTCAGTACGATCAACGCCTGCTAAAAATGCAACATACGCCAGGATGAGGCAAATGCTCAAGTGGACGTGTAGAATTGTCCGGTCACTCTTCACGTATCTGAAAAGCAGAGGGGGGGATATAATTTTCATTTCCCTTCAAAGAAATTCAACTTTCAAAATCTTTTGATTAATAACATGCACTTAAACGGCATAAAAAATAGGAATCATACCAGAGAACTTATTTGTTTGTTTTAGTAAAGAGAAGCAAATCGATACAATAATGATCATTTAACCCTTGGAAAAAGTAAGACAGGCAGACAGAAACAAGAGAGGGAAAGTACAGAAGTAGGACCTACCAGTGGCCCCCTCCAACCATGTACACACACCAAGGAAATAGTGAAAATACAATAATATAATCTCCTACAGAATCGTACTGCACCAGATATGTAAACATACTGATTGCTGGACGGCTATTATAAATAATATCATGTCAGCACAGGTATAGTAACTCACGTTTCGCCACATAGAACTGTTCAGATATACAGTCATTTCTTAGTGTGTTAATTTTTCCACACTGTTGTCTAGAACTAAGTCCCAGCAGAAACTCAGTGGAAATGAAAACGCTAAATTTATAGTCGTGTACCCCCATGGATGATCACATTACATCACAATACATAACATATAACAATCTTTCCTAAGGATCCATCATCCTTCCCTAAACAGACAGAATTTAAACTGACAAACTTTTTCTTTTCAAATCCGTTTGTCAATGTAGGTGTTTTACGTGCCCATCAAAACAATTTAGATCATTTGGGAAGTGGACTTCAACCCTTCCTGTCAGGGCCAACCCAGACTGAGAGGGCTAAACATCTCTGCACGAACACAGACAAGTTCCATAAAAATTCTTCTCACAAGAGGATCGAACTCTGGTCTTCTGCAGGTGATGGCAAAGCACCTTACGACTACATCAAAGTCGCGGGTAACTTTTAATTTAACTTCTGATACCTTATCACATAACAGGAGTAAAAACTGCATCCCCATTTTGCTACATCACAAGCGAAGACAGTAGTCACACTGAAGGGAAGTGAAACGATGTCGAAAATATCAGAGTACCCACCATCCACTCATAAAGCACAATACGTACAATCAGACAAAGACAATGATTTGAAAATAAAAGAATGCTGGGAGAGACTGATAGCAAGTGACAGCAAAATATACACAAACACGACTAGACAAGACGAGACAAGACAAGACAAGACAAGACAAGACAAAAACAAATCAAGACAAAACAAGACAACAAAAAACAAGACAAGACAAGATAAGAAAAGACAAGACAAGACAAGACAAGACAAGGCAAGACAAGACAAGACAAGACAAAACAAAACCAGACAAGACAAGACAAGACAAGATAAGACAAGACAAAAACAAGACAAGAAAAGACAAAATAAAACAAAACGAGACAAGACAAGACAAGACACGACTCACCTCCACAATGTTGCATGTACAATGAGTGTGATGAGAAGACAAAGAATGGAGAGGCCACATCCAACGTAGGAAATAATGCTGAGAATTTCATGATGACCTGATGGCTGTAATGGAAAAATGTATATAATATTACTTATTTGAATGGCACGGTTATAGTACTTGCTGCAAACACGTAATAAAAGCCCCCCCCCCCCTAAACCCCACATCCACCCAAAATACAAATTACGACTTTCCTTAGCTATGATCCATTTCGCATTGGTGATCTGTGTGAGTTGTGTGGAGTATGAGCAAGCAAATCCCACACTAATGTCACTACTACAATGGGACTCTGTCAACATAAGATCTTGCACTTTAATTCTTTTTCTCTCGTTCTTTGTACTGATATAAAACAAAACACAAACCAAAGTGTACAAATTAATAGTTTGACAAGGATTTTTAATGCTGAGAGAGTGAATCAAAGAAGCAAACATGATGTTAATGATGAGTTTTTTATTTGGTTTTCAACTAATCTGTTCCTCCAATAAAGCTTGAGTAGACATAAAACAACTCTTGAGCCAAAAACCTACAAGGTAATGAGCAGGGCAGAGTGATTGAACACCAAGTTATTCCAGTAAAACAGACCTAAGTAAAAGATGCAGGTGGGTTGATGGAGTACAGTGTGTTTTGGGAATGCTACTTAAGGTTACACGCAATGTCATTCAAGAGAAAGGGACAGGGATTTTTTATGTAGGTGTCTGTGTCTGAGTCAATTCCAAACTCAGACTACTCTATGCCCCCGTTATCTCCATCCTTCCGTATGCTTGTGAATCATGGACCAACTACAACAACAAAGTTGAAGTGATCCATGCATGCCCAGCGTTGAGATCGTTGGATGCTTCCAAATAAATCAGTCCCAAAGACTATTTATCTTTAGCTTATTAAAAGGTACCGCTTCAGTTCTGCTGATCTGTTTCGTGTAAGAACCTTTGTTTTTCCGAACTCTTAATAATAATAATAACAATAGTAGATAGCATTTGTATAGCGCATATCCCCGCTCAACAGCAGGCTCTATGCGCTTTACACTATTTTATTACCTCAGCAGACCATAGAACACTCCGAAACATTCTCAGCTTCCCGGGAAGCATACAGTGCAAGCAGCTGATTAAGCGCTCAAACACTAACAAACTGACAAGACCTTTCGCTGTCTATAGCTGGGTACCCATTCCCACCTGGGTGAAGTGAGGAAAATTCGTGTAAAGTGCCTTTCCCAAGGACACAAC